TTAATTTTCAAACAAAAATCATAAAAAAAAATCAAATAAAAAACATAAAAACATTAAATGCTACTAAAAACAAAAATTATGCAAAATATATTAAACAGTAAAAAAGAAATATAAAAAACTGCGCATTTTACGAATTTATTTATTTATGACAAAGCATTATATTGACGAATAAATAGGTCAACTCGCTGCTTGTGCTACTTTACTGCATTAAATCACGCAACAAGCGCACCTGCTTCATATCTAACGCTGCAGCCGCGACCTCAAATGAAAATTCACACAGCAGACAATGCAAGACTATTTCGTTTCGTGGCTAAACACGGTCTGTAAAGTGCGCTTTTCAAGCATTTTCATCGCGTACAACAAATACTTATACATGCATATACACATATGTGTGTATAACGGTAATAAATGATGCTGTGATGTATCGCAGTTTGATGTCTGTATGTATGGCTTTGAATACAAATTGAACCACGGAATGAGGAGTCACACAACTAATCGTGGCTGTGGTGTACATTTGGCGAGAATTGCATTTCGACACACCAACAAAAAAAAGAAAAACAAAATAAATTGAAATAAATGTATAATCTATTGCTAGCTGTTGCCAGTATGCGCCAATTACTATGTATACTAAATACTTTAAATTTGAAGAATTATTAAAGTGTCACTTCTTGTTGTTGCGTGCTTGTGCATGATTACAGTACTACTACAGGTCTGATTGCTATTGTTGCTGTTATAGCGGCAGATGTGTGTGTGTGTATTAGTGTGATTTGTGAGAATTTGTTGGTGGAAAGTGTTGTAATTGTTTTTGGTGGCGTGTTTTGTTGTTGTTATTAGATGTATTGTTGTTGGTGGTTCGTTTCTCAAGTATTGTTTTTTTTTGTATTATATGTTCGTTTATTGTTTTTGTTTCTTGTATGCAGTGTTTTGTTGTTATTGTGTTTTTTGTTTTTGTTTTTAATTTTCTTTCATTTATTTTAAATTTTCCTTTATATATTCATTATTTACGAGTTTCTATTCTATTATGAGTGGTATGGCGTTACATAGGTTGCTGGGAAGATGCCTTTCCGATTGCCGATCTCACCATTCCACCAATTCTCATCAGATCGATCTGTAACGGTGATGACATCGCCGCGTCTGAAGTCCAATTCACCAGATTCTTGTGGCACAAAATCATATAATGCTTGCACGAGCATCTGTTCGGTGGCGAGAGGAGCAGAAACGAGAGAATGGAGTATGAGAAAATATTATATAAACAGAAAATCGTAAAGAATTATAATAAATATAACAGGAGGATGATAATTTTTATAAATCGGGTGAAAAATGAATGTGCAAGAAAAAGTATTGTCTACATTTAGGAGCGCCTGAAAATAAAATAAAACTTTGCCTACATTCAGACGCGCATTAACCGTCATAAGTAAAAGTAAACAGAAGACTTCTAAGCAAAAAAAAAACAAGGAAACTCGTTGTTGTTGTTATATCGGCAGATTTCTACCGGGTTGACAGTTCTTGACCGGTTAAAAAACCCAGTCCGTTTCGTTTACATAGATCCGATTGTCGAGAGACCCTTGACTGGTCCATTTCTCAGAGCATCAGAGTGTATAAAAAGCTCTTTAACTCGATTTTGATATATCAATTTGTATGACAGCTATATGCTATAGTGGTATGATCTGAACAATTTGTTCTGAGGTTGTAGCGTTCTTTCGGACCATCATCTAAGCCAAATTTCGTGAAGATATTTTGTCAAATAAAAGGTTTTCCATACAAAAACCTGCTCTGAATCGGTCAGTTTGTACTGCGCAGACATTTTATAGTGATTTGAAGTCAGCGATACCGACAAATAAGCAGCATCTTGCGGCGATAACAAAATTTCCGTTCTATATCTTCAAAACTGTGGTAATTTTCTTAACAAAGTTCGTGGTAAAATTAATATACGACTAAAAAAATAGCACGCTAACCTCACTTAGAGTTCAGCACACTCACCTCTTCATGTATCATATCTCTTAATTTGACATCTTGCGATCTCGATACGCTTGCGGTTCGATGATACTCCACCAGCTCGTTGAGCGAGTTGAATTTAACAACCCAAAGGAAGAATTTACCCTGTGCGTCGCGTAAAACTTTGAAATGTTGCACACCATCGGGGCATCTGTGAGTGGTGGGAATAAAAAATAAAAATCGTAAAATTAAAGATCTGATGCATTTTTAGAAAAAAATGTACACTTACTTGACTGATAATGAGAAATCGCCAGGACTGGATTCGCTAATGCGTATTAAGAATGCACCTTCATGTTTATTTGAGAGCAATTTCTCAGCGTCGGCACGTGTGATGCGGCCATAGTACCAGCTGCATTTATTAAAAAAAAAAAAT